TAAATCTTTTTGGAAGCACCAGTTAATAAAACTAAGGTGTTTTGTGCAAGTTTGGCATAGTGCTGTTCCAGATATGGAAAACAGTCAATCACAGAGATTTACTACCAGACCAAAAATGAAGAAAAAGGTGAAAAAGAGACTGTGAAAGAAGGACAGTAGATAAAAGGGACAGGAATCCAGGAAATGCAGAGCCTAAGATCATCATTAGTGAGAAATTGAGAGAGAGGTGGAAATATTTGAAAATCTGTTGAAGGGAAGCAGCATGAAAATAAAAGTGATTTTAACTGCATACTTACAGCACAAACAGCAAAAGAGGCCAAATAGATTGGAAAGTTGGGAAGTGAAGAGATCAAGCAGCAGGCTTAAACAAACAGAAGAGAATACTTTTCCCTCAAAGCACATAATTCAATTCAGAAACTTGTTGCCACAGGTTACTGTGAAAGCTAAGATGATAAATGTTTTGAAATGGCACTGGCCAAGCAGGTGGAAGATACATTATAGTTCAAAGGAAAGGTGCAGTGGGACCTTTGGTCTTACATACACATTGTAGGAGATCTTCCGTTTGAAAGTACCTTTCAAAATATTAACAAGGATGTAACTTGGTCTTTCAGTTGCCTTTATTTGCAAAAAATAGCTTGCCCAAGAAAAAAATACAACATAATTGAGAGGCTGAAGTCAAGGGAATATGTTATGCCACTTTTTATTCTCCAGAGGTGCTGACTTACTGGCTCAATCACTTTCTACTGTATGTATAATTGTGGCAGTAAGAACCGCCTTGACCACCCACAGCTGCTGATTAATGTTAATTTCCATATTGCTTTGACAGATAATTGGTACACAACACATTATAGCTCTGAATATTTCAATTAATTGAATGTGTGTCTTTAGATTGGCAAATCAGGATATTTCACCAATGTACTTTATTTCAAATAGGTCTGCAAATTATCAAATGTTGCTGATTCCATTAAGATTTCCCAATGACGTGGACTTCTGTCACCTACTCAATGTGATCTTGAACTAAGTCTTCAGCAGTGACATCCAGAGGTTATGAACTACTGCTACATACATAACAACTGTGTCTTCAGTTCGATTATGATGGACCACCTCCTTGCTCAACTCCAGCTAAATCAATGCAGTTATTACCTAAGTTTTGCAATTAGAATCTATGTTTTTGGGTTGAGCATCATGAGTTTGACAGTTAGCTCTGTTTACTGATGATTAATGACTAGTATTTGGGCAACAGCATACAAAAATTCTTAATAAATTGGAAGAGAGTGAAAATTGCCTGGGGCCCATTACCAAAGAAAGGGTGTAATATGTCTAGCCAGAATGTTCACTTCTAAAGCACTAAGCTCACCAATTAGAATACAGAAATGACAACAGCTACAGGCATTAAAGCTTGTGCCTTTGTTACTGCATGAGACAAATGTTTGAGCAAACTACGTCTTGCCTTTGTACTGCTGCCTATAAACTCTGACTTTGTGCCCACCTTCCTACTTCATGAAGTGTTTTCTTGACATTTATTATTAATAATAAAAGTTAAGAAAAATGAAAGTAGCAGCCGTATTGATTCAGCAAAGCAGCATGAGCATATTTAACAGCCCATGCCTTTTATCTGATTCAAATATATTCAATTTCTCTGAAGTCTGATTTCTTTAATTATAGTACAAATCTAAAAAGACTTTTTATGTTATCAGATCCTAATTATATTAGACAGACTGCCATTCATCTGCTTATAGCAATATTTATTTCCACTGCCATCACTAAACATCAAAACAGTATTACCTCATCATCATTTACAGTGGAAAAACTACTACTGTTCTGTACAATTTTGTGTCTAGGTTGGTCCGGTTAAAGGCATGAGACAATTTTGCTTGGTTTGTATAATTAATATTTATAAATACTTTGCTTAACCTTAATCTCTAATTATGATAAACTATACCTTCCATTTTTAGGCAAGCTTCTCTCTACGCTAAACCTGTCTAAATCGCCTCTGAGTTAGGAAGATAACTTCAGAAATTGAGAGAATTAGTAGATTGAGTCCCACTGAGAGGGGATTTCATAGAGGAAAAAAGGGATAGAAGCCAGATGAAACTTCTGCAACGTTAATAAACAGAAAGCCAGAAAATCTCTTGAAGTAGAAGTGAAAAAAGGAAAAAATGTAGAGGAAATCACAGTATGGATAAGAAAAACAAAGCTGTGAATCAGGTTACACTCTCCTGCCTCTGCAGAGGATACCTTCCATTGATGTCCTCTGCCTTCTTACACAAGCTCGCCTGGAAAAACTCAATCAGCCATAGTATCTCTCTAAACCTGGGCATGTGATTACCATTCTTTCTCTCCATCACTGCAACTCCTCTGGGCTCGAGAGGTTCCTAGAAAAACTACTAGTTGTTTAACAACTGTGGAGCTGGACTTCCAGATGCTCCATTAAGGCAGTGGCTACTAGCACTCAGGGCATTTATGCCTTACTCCTTACAGATCTGGTAGGTCATTTTACCTAGACCTTACTTCCTTGACCTGCAATTTAAAAGAATCTCTTGTGAAGAGATTCTCTCCTCATGAGGATTCCTCCCCCCTCCTCTCCTGCATCTTTCTGAACGTACCTCCCCTTATGTTAAATCTGGCATGTACTTGTATTAGTAACCTAACGTTCAAGGTAAGAAAGCATACTTACATGATAAATCAGCTCTAACAAAGGAGTAGGACAAAAAAATTACGTGAACACATTAGGCACAGGGGAAGGGATGAGAAATCAAAGGATGCTCCCAGATATATTTAGGAAGACATAGAAAAAAAATACATCCTCTATTAAGTGGAAGAATGCATCTCAGAAAATGATAAAAAGTAGGTTTGCTAGCCCCCAGAGAGAGGGAAGGAGAAAGAGAGAGAGAATATTGTATAATTTTGGGAGGATTATGTTTCACTAGAGACATTCGTGAATGTAATGAGCTAAAGAAGGAGTAAGACACTGCTTAAATTGATCTATACAACTGATTGTGCTACACTTGATAAAATAATTGTGTCAGTCTTTTCTGTACTTAAACTTAACAACTCTGAAATGCAGTAAGTTGCTAAGCACTAAACATCTTCACATACTCTGTCACACTATTCTCATTGTTTCAGAAACCTCAGAACCACCTGACATTTACCTTCTTGGGTTCTAACACCGGATTTGCAGAAATGCAATTAGGAAAACTCCGATACTCGTAACAGAAAAGGTCAGCAATGTGCAAGCTAAACCTGATAACATGCCTAATGTGCTGCCAAACATAACAGAATGCCTTCCTGATAATGAATGATTTTACAGACTGACATGAAGGTGTTGCAAGATAATCAGATCAACAGGGGGCATGCCACTGTGCAAAAGACACACAGGAGATTGTGAAATAATCTTTGATAGAGGTATATTGCAAAGTCACCACTGATGGAAGAATCTACCATTATAAAAGGCCATGTTTTCAGAAATAATAACATAAATAAATTGGGCAGAAAACAGAAACGACAGAAGTTTCAACATTTGGTAGCACAGGAGCCATTACCTCATCAAAGGCAGTGCACTCTGTGCCTGCAGCCAACAACCAATACACCACCACCTCTGGGATGTATAAGACATTTTTCCTTTTTCTTTTCTTGTAGGGATCAATGTAAGTAGAGGTTAGAGGGTTTAGTTTTTTGGTTTGTCTTTAATACAGAAATACTCACGCAGCAGTACAGGCTCTGTGTTCCTCATGCAAAGACCTCGTCCTTACTTGTGTCACTAATCCTACATAAACTAATAGTGAACTTTAAGAAAAATGAAAAGTAATCTAAGTGATTCTTTTGATAAATGACATTTTATCAACAGTGCCAAAAAATAGCTCGTTACTGAAAGTAGCACTTATTAGAAGTTTTCTGCCAAATACCTAAAGGCAGGTTAAACCTTTAGTGAAAAATGTTTTTCAGACCTTACAAACACCAAAGAAATGTATATTTGTTATACCCGAATTTATCATGAGCTATATAGTTCGCATGTATATTTACAGACTATGATTTGTATTAGATTGTTTCTTTTTATTTAGTCATGGTTATAAGAAGTTGCATTTTTTAAAAAAACAGAGGAAAAAGTACTGTCATGAACTACAGTGGAGCTTTCACCTCTATATTCACTTAGGTTAAAATTCAAATCACAGAACTCATAATCTTCCAGGAATTATCACATACATATCAGTGATAAGAGAACATTATGTTTTGACACCGCTAGATCCATATTGCAAAGCTGTATTAAAGGCAAATGCTAACTTTTTATTATAGTTTCTCCTGTACCTGAGTTATATCCATCTATTTCATGATCAATGTACAAGCCAGCTATTCTTTTCATGTGACATACATTGTTGCCTAATTAATTAAGGAAAACAACTGTTATTCAATGTGAACATTCCTATTTTTTGATTTTATTAGAAGTATCATGAATTTAGAACATGACATATTTTTGAGTATTGACTGTAACGATAGGCCAGGTGATGATCAGCTAACTTGTATAAGCTGAATTTTCTCAGTAGCAGGCTATAACTTGTATGAAGAAAAGTATCTGATGTCCTGTGTTTGGTAGTCTATAAAAAAAACTAAACAAAAAAACTCAAGCACCCATCTTTCTGGTATTTCAATATTTCACTTCATATATTCATTTGCAACCAGCTTTATCTGAACAGCGTGTGCCTGATGCAAGTATTTATAAAACAGTACCAACATACTGCAAAACATTTTTACAGGTGCTTACTTTGCAAAAAGTTCACAACGTAAGTGAATATATTTTGTTTAAACTGTATGAAGAGAGGCATGTCAATAAAAGGAAGTAAACACACTCCCCACAACTAGATGATAGCATCAATGAAAGTGCATTTACACTTCCAGCTTTTTCTTGCTATTCTTTTGGTAATGATCATAAGCAACTAATTGTATTTTCTTGAAATGCTACATATGCATAACATGCACCAAAAAACTAACAAGAACACACTCACCATGTACTATCAGGACATATTCTGTGCTGTTTCGGCCAATAGGATTTTTTGCTTCACATCGGTATGTGCCATTGTCTGTTTTGTTTAGGAAACTGATGCTTAGGACTCTGCCGTTAACAACCATTCTCTCTGGATCTGGTAGTTCTCCACCGTCCTTTGTCCACAGTACTGGTTCTGGCCTGTTGGATCCAAAGCAATGCATTTAATCAGATACATGAAGCATGCTCATGCAACACACATCAGAAACACTAGCATCAGAAACTTATGAATAGTAACCTGCCATCAAAGAATATTCAACGATCATTTAAGTTACTGGATATAATGAACTGTCACTATTACAACCTCACCATCCTGCATGGGAACTACTAAAGAAAGTGAAAGAACAAGCAGGGAAAAGAACAGAAACAGAAATGGAAACAGAATGGTACTGGAATAGGCCAAGATCTTTCCTAAATTCAAAAATAGTTCTCGCAAGGTTTCAGGGCCCACAGAACAGCAAGATGCTTGGCAAGCTAAGTAAAAACAGCTTTCTGTTTGTGTGATGAGCAATATGGTCCCGTGTGGCTGACAGGCATCAGAAATCATGCAAGCAGGCTGAGGTAGATATAAGTGGTTTGTGAATGGATTCTAAAATTATTTAGGCCATTCACATTCACAAGTGTACTTGCATGCGCTGAGTGTTTTTCCTGAACCAGGCATAACAGTCTCAAAGTGGCACATCTTACCCATAATCTATATTTGTTTCTGTTGCTGCATTGTGTCACAGCCCATCCCTTTTTCCACCCCTTCTGCATCCTTCCCTCAAATAATTGCTTGTTATGCATGTTATCACAAGCAATATAAGATTTGACTTAAAATCCTGGATTTCCTTCTTTTGTGAAACCTTTCCTCTTGTGACTCATGAATTCGCATCAAACCGGCCAAAGGCTAAGCACTGACAGCGATAACCCCCTAGGCAAGCTAAGGGCACCTCAGAGAAGGGAACTGACCATCTTGCAGATTCACATATACCTTCCCACTGTCAATACCTAACTCATAAAGACTCTCAAGAAACTCCACAGTTCATGAGATTTGCCTAACAGACAGCAGGATGTATTTATTACCGGTATGCAGTCTTTACTTACACGTAACAAGATCTACTTTCAAATTTACAGGAGAGATATCACCAAAAAGACAGGTCTGCGACTGGGAATGAAAGGCTGGCTTACTGAATCTTGACTATCTCACAAACAGAGCATCTCAGGTCCTTAGATACTAGTCACTAAAGCAAGATACATACAGCCCAGTGATTCACTGCTACGTTACTTGTATCTGGTAGCTTTGTACACTATAATCCGAATAGCAATCCCTTTCTTTCAGGTACACAACTTTAGTAATTTCAGTCATAAGCAGTTCTAGATTTGCACATTTATTTGGTATGAGAATAGTACACTATATTTTCCTCTTGAAGCACACAGTTGTATGACTAAGTAATAAAACAAAACATAAACAGCTGTTATAAAATCAGCAGATGGCAAATTACTTGCTAGTCTTACTCAAGAAATACTTAATTTCATTAATTTAAGCAGGTATTTAGACCCTATTAAATATAATAAGTGTTAAGAATTAAACCTAAATACCTAAAGAGAGACATTTTGTCAAAATGTGGCCTCACGCACAGAAAAATAGTTCTAATGACTGCAATGACATGATTTTCTTTTAAGTTAGGCAAGAGATGTAAACAAAGTGAATTTTTCTGAAGTGCACTTACTGCTACATAATTTATATTACTTTTTAAAGTAAAAATACTATAACTTACGTTTCTCTTCAAAGATAACAGATTTCTACACATTTTAGTACTATTTGGATGAAACCTTGTTAAATTGTTGTTGAACTTGTTACCTAGACTGGCTCTTCTCTGAAGTTATTATCTTTTTAGAAAATCATATACTCAGGGAAGAAAACAAGATTCACATAATTTTAAACAAAGGATTAAGAACTGTCGGTGTAACGGGCCTTATTTATACCTTACCGTAAATATGTCTTAACACTCTTCCTAAGTGCACTTTCAGGAACTGGTATCTAAATACACAACACACAATATACATGCTTTCTTTCTGTTTAATTTGGGCAGGGAATCTATATGTCCATGCTGTTGCAGAAACGTTGCCTTACAGAGTTCACAATATTAAGGTGCGATTTGCTTTGATATGTTAAGGTGGATTTATTCCATTTTCTAGCAAACTCCTCATTGTTCCCCATTTACCAGCTTACTGTGAATCTGTAATCCCAGGAGTGGAAACTCTGAAACACTTCTGCTACAATGTGCACCATTACCTTCATAAATGGCATGTTAAGGCAACTTCTATGCAGTGGTAATTTACAGAACTTATGTTTTAAATTGAAATTAGATGGCACATCCCTAGGGGAAAACCCATAGGATAACAAATAAGTATTAAATGGAGCCTTAGAAATAAATTATTCAGGGTGCTTTGTCGCATTGTAATATACCAACTCAAGTCTTATATGGAGTACTTAGCTATGGCTGCAAAATGATGGTGGCAGAAAGACTGCAACTTAGAGAGAGGCAGATCTACATACTCTGGGTATGGGGGAAGCTGCTAATTAACAGTTAATATTAAGCCATCCTGTGCTGGCTTAGTGGCAGCAGCAGAGTAATTCCTGGGCAGCTGGCCCACAGTCAGCACACCACGGTGGCCAGGCACAGCTCTCACTCCATCTCACCACTCTCAGGGAGGATGGTGCCTAAAGCAGCAATTCTGTCACAGCCACAAAATTAAATTTTGCCTGCACTGCTGGGAAGCTTTGAGACACTCTGGTCTAAACAATTCATTAGTTAGGCAGAATTGAGCTAAGAACTTGAGACATGCTCCCAGGCCAGCATGCTGCTGTGGTCAGTGATAAGGGGAGCAGCTGTTTAAGGAAAGCATGTGAGTGTGGCCATTTTCTGTGGTCCATATCCCCTGTAGTCTGCCAGCATCCACAATCATTCTATGGGGGATGTTGGAGGGCACATCTCTTGTTCTCTTTTGTGTCTTCTTAGTATTTAGACACGTTGCCTATGGATGTCTCTAGTATCTTTCTGAATCTCCTTATACTGTCTGTCAACCCAGGCTCCTGTGGCAATGAATTCTGGAAGTTCCCTACCTGCTGTGCAAAAATTTATTTACTTTTATCTGTTTTAGACTGATCTCCTAGCAGTGGTAATGAATATTGCAGTATATGGTAAGTAACACTTCTGCATATTATAACCTTGTTATAAGTTATGATAGCTCTGTACTTAGCAGGCCTCTGTCTAGCCCTCTTTCTCTGTCTGAATTTAATAGCTTCGGAGGTTGTTGGGGGGGGGGGGGGGAATCACATGAAAAAGGGGTAAAAGAACCATAAATTTAGAGCATACTGGCTATTCCTTGACAATTGCTTTAGTATTTTCATAGTCCAAAGCACAAATGCAGCTGAAACACTGATGGGGAAGTTTTCCTTCTGTGACACAAGGCACAGAGAAGTATGAATTCCCCATAGTTTATCCTATTGAAACATGTTCATGGGGGCAGATCCAGACAGAGGTTCTTTCTCTTACTCAACATTTTGAAAGGGTTCTGGCTCAGCTGGGGGATATTTAGGTTTGGCATACTAAAAGACCCAGCAAATATGTACACTCCTAATATTGCACATTTTTCTCCATTGTATACATCTCTGATATTGCAGAATTTCAGCTTTTCTTCACATTCTAAAGAGTTACCATAATGCTATCTATTACTCTGTGGACTGGAACAAACAGGGTATCCCTGTGCCTTGCATTTGTGCTTACTTCAAACTGAATCACACTTACCAGTTTAATCCCCATTTTTCTCAGACAATCCTGAAAACATCTTTCTTGGAGCACAATAGCTGTAAAGTCAGAATGAGCACTGAGGCCACTAATGCAATTGCATGTTACTACCTTCACACATTTCATGGCACAAACAAGCTTACTGACCTGCTCTGTCCTAACAGGAGCGTGCAGCCTGCTAGTACCAATGCAGTCACCCAAAAAACAAGTCTGCCCTCCCTTTTTTCCCATCTTGGATGAGAGGTGCTTTTCTATATCCCTGGTTTAATCCCTCCCATGTGGATGCGGTTAAGTAGAAATGAGCTGTGCTACCACTGAGACCCTTCACTGGGTTGAGGGAGGTAGCAGAGCTGAAGCACCAAGATGATGTTTTCGTCCCCAAAAGACAGCTCTGCTTCTGGCTTACCTATTCTAATTTGCTCACAGTGTGACACTTTGTAAAACAAAAACAAACAAATTAAGCATGCTGTACTGAAGAAATTCTTTCAAAGACACAGCTCAACTGTGACAGCCCATGCTATTTCTTTGGCTAGTGTGTATTGCTTTTACTGATTTGGCTTTGCACGCAGCTGCCCACGGTGGCACTATCAGGACTGTGTTAAACTGAAAGAAGCCAGAGATACTAATCACAAGCATGCTAAAAATCCTTAATTATGACCAGTATCTTCTCTGCCAGCCCCCCAAAAGAAATTTGAACTCTTTCTCTGCAGAACTGCTAAATGGGCTTAGATTTTGGTATGTTTAGTCCTAGTAGAAAGGCCCAGAAACTTTGAGTAACTGACTTGCAAAAGGGAACTGGGTTTTTTTGGTAGAAATAAATGATTTTGTTAACTGTCTTCATGTTAGCCTCAAAGCTTGACACAAAAAGCAACAGATTTTGGTATTCTTTCCCAGTCAAACTGAAACGGGACTGCAATGAAGACATCAAAACACTGGTAACATGTTCCAGGATGATTCATGTTTTATACTGTGGAACAGGATTTTTCTTGCAAGTAACTTAAAAAAGAATTTGTAAATAAAGCAAAATTATTTTCTAATCCTGAGGCTAAGAAACATTTTCTCCCAAAATAAGTCAGAGAGAAAGGTAAGGGTAAACTGGAATGTGTTGGGGAAAAAAAAAAAAAAGTTTTAAAAACCACCGTCAGATTTGATTAGAAAAAAACACTTAGGCACAGACTTACATTTTCAACAACTGTTTATGTAACATGGAAGTCAACAGTTAATATTTAAGTCCATGTTAATATTTTTGATAATCTAGAACTTTAAACAGTAGTATTTTAAAACAAGTTTGTTAATTTTCCACCCCTTTCTCCATCCTTAACAAAAGGACTGTGATGTTTCAGTGCT